TGCAGAAGCTGCTGCTGATCTCATTTCTTTATTAATTTCGATATTAAGAACACCTCCAGAAAATTTTATGTAATCAAATACTGTGCATTGAAAAATGTATGATGAGTCACTTAAATTTTCAATTTCAATTGCTTTATTTACAGAGAAGCCCATTTCCACAGAGGCCTGTTCATGTGACAAGATGGGAATACTTGTCACAGCGAATACTTGAATAGTGAAAATATACATTTTTTACTATATATATATAATTTATTTCCTAAACAATATTGATTAATTGATTATATTATCTCCTAAGTTTAATTAAAGTAGAATTATTTTAAAAGAGTGAATCCATACTGGTAAGTTATATTTTGAAAGATGTATAGATATATATACATCTTTCTATATATATATAATTTATTTCCTAAACAGTATTGATTAATTGATTATATTATTAAAATTCTCAAAAATAATCTAATTCCCATTCAATTTATCAACCATTGCCTTAAAAGAGCAGGCGTTAAATACTCACTTTAAATCATTTAACTGATAGGGATATGATAATTTGTTCCTAAACCTGAGAAGGCGGTATAAGTTGGATGACTGTCAGTTGGAAGATTTGTATATAGTGTAATTACTCAATTGTAAATATTGTAAAAAGCTAATTGTCTTCAGACATATACTGTTACTAAAAAAATGGGCCTATTTCATGCCTTTAGTCTGTCTATTAGCTCTTGGACAGAGAAAATTCCTTTTTGCTTTCTTAAATTTTTAATCATTGCGACACGACAATTAGCCAGAAATTAATTAATTTCCATTCACTAGTATTTTCAAAAAAATCTTGACAGACAGTCTCACTCAGATAAGAACTCCACAAAGTACATCCCTCAAGAATTCCAAGTCCCACCCACTACCATAAATTACTTCACCCAAGTCTTACCGACTGATATTATTCAAAGCCCCTACTGCCGCTAAGAATTTTCGGACACCCTACACTTATGAGTCAGACACGAAGAGAACACTTTGCCAACTCCCCCACTAGAAAGAATGTAAGTTACTTAATACCTTTTCTGGCCTTTATATCTTCATGTACATACACTGATCTTTTTTATATTGTCTTTGATTTGTTTTTACAAAGTTTGCATTATTTATCTTATTTTGTAATCTTCTATGTTTATTTCAACTTTACTTTGAATTCGATTTCATAATGACAATTTACAATGTTTAATTTCTACAAATAATATAGTACTCAAATGCATAAACATGAAAGTGTCGGGGACGATTACTCGAGTTAAATAGGATTTCTCTACAGTAATTGATTTTTACTCCAAATTGAATTGACTAAAATGCTTCATAAGAATAAGTTCTTTGAGTATCAGCATTGGTTCATAATTCCTTCTATTCGCGGAAATATTTGGCCTGACTAGAATTGCCGGTTTGGCTTTAACTTATAACTCAGGTAAAGATGAAACACTTTCGTATTTACATATTTTTATCAATTATTTTTCATTGAACAAGAGTTGGTTTGTTCCCCTTGAAAAGTCAACTAATTTCCGATCAATGACAATGATTACATGTTTTAATTTTTCCTTTTACAATTGAAATTTTATTCTTCATGATGATTTAACTCCAGTCCCCGTTAAAACATTATTAACACTTTGCTTTCAAATTACTTCAAAACACCTTTCAAAATATAACTTACCAGTATGGATTCACACTTTTAAAATAATTCTACTTTAATTAAACTTAGGAGATAATATAATCAATTAATCAATACTGTTTAGGAAATAAATTATTATTAACTAACTTTGCAGCAATTGCGCAAGTAGTAATAACTTGTATTCGCACTAAATGGATTTAAGATCATACAACATTATATATATATATATATATATATATATATATATATACAGTACAAAGTCCGAGATCTTGACATCCAATATCTGGAATGATCTAAAATCCAGACCTCAAAGCCCCCACCAACCAATTTTTTAGGGCTTTTTTTGAAGGGAAGGGGTATGCTTTATGCACGCGCATTAGATTTTTTTCCTCATCATAAAAAAACATGCCGGAAATCCCGATTCTTAATCTCAGTTTGGCGCTAAATAAAATATCTCATTATTGAAGAAATAATTATTTTAGCATAAATTTGTGTGATTAGTAACTTGACTCCATAGCTGCGTATCTGCTTGGCATAATCTCAAACCGAAACATTTGTCAATTTTACACCAACTAATATTTTATATTCTTGATGCCGAAATCGCGAATCATTATTTATTGTATTTTGCTTTCATCACTGCATGTTTATCAACAGATGACAACTTGAGTGATGAATCATGCAGCGACGCCAAATAACAGAGTATTATCCGATTACAGATTTAAGTTTAATGCGCTAAAATGTTGACAAGGAAAGATTTAGCAGAAATTTCTTTCCTTATGCTAAAAATAGATTTTGTTAATGATACTCATAGGACAAACAATTATATTTAGTGCTATTTGAATTAAGAATAACTGATTTGTTATTCACACAAAGCCAGAACCAGCACCAGAGCTCGCATGGCCGCACCAGGCGGCAGAATTTAGCGAAGTTAAACAGAAGTTTTTCATTGCGATAACAATGCCCAATCATCAATCAATTAACGGAGGGCGAAATCTGTAGTATGGTTCTAAATCCAGAAAATACAGCTACCGATAGTGAAGAAAGTAACAGAGAGGTTATTGAACAAGAAAAAATTTTTGATTGACAAGTTATTCGGAATTCTCGACACAGCAATTACACAACTTGAACAATGGAACTTAATAACTGAACAAGAAATAATATGTCTATAGTATTAGTCTAAAGTATTAGCAGAGAAAACAAATCAAACAACTCATATTGAAATAAATGTTTAATAAAGTAAACATATAAATATTAAGCTCTTTTCTTTTGTAAATTTTGATACCCTTTAAATCATAAATGCTTCATTATTTCATAAATCACGATTTCATATTTTCAATTTTATAATTTCTACGTGCCATCTTAGTAGATTTAAAATGATCTAATATCCGGAAAAATCTCAAATCTGGGATCGCCGAAGTCCCGACGAGTCCAGACCTCGGACTTTGTACTGTATAAATGTTTATGTATATATATAACATTTATACAGTACAAAGTCTGAGGTCTGTATATATATATATATATATATATATATAATACTACGGAAGTATATTTTCAGTTAAACTTCTACCCAATAACTTTAGTAATTCATGAAAGTTAATTTTGCGTCTAGTTAATTCAGGAAAATTAGTTTCAATTAGTTGTTTTTTCAACTTTAAAAATATTTTAAAAATTTTTAATTAGTTATTTTCAACTAATAATTGTATTGCCATTAAAAATTATGCATTACTATCAACAACATAGGTTTAAACCAAATACTTAATTGTCTATTGAAGCTTCAAAACGTATTTCCGAACTTCACTTTTTCTTGGCTAGCGTTACCGAATTTGCCCTTGGCGACCTAAAGTCGAAATGGAGCCAAAAGATTTCCCGCAAAATCAATAACAGACCCTCTGCAGAAATAAACTCATAATCCCGATATCCCATACATATAGTATGTGCAAAAGAGAATAAACTCTGCAGAAGGTGATAAAAAATTAATTTATGGCTTAATTGAAACAAACACAGAAATTGAGCTAAGCAAAACCGTGTAAAAACAAATTGAAATGATAAAACGAAACTTAATTTTCATGTGAATTTTCAGCGCTGACTCTCCCATTCTAGAAATTTCAATTTGTTTCAGACAAAGACCATTTACATTTAAGGATTGCCATCCATCAATATCCAGTCTTTGTAGTCAGCTTGATGAAGCCACAGTTTATTGAAAATGCACTTTCCAGGCATCTTGTTCCTATTGGCGTCGGAAGGGTTGTGGGCTTCCAGGTTGGAATTGCTCTAATTTTGGCAAATATTTTCAGAATCCCCCCCCCATTTTTTTTCTCAAGCACCTTCATCATCACTTTTGCCTCTTAAAGAACTTCCGGCTTCATGCTTTCGTCACAATCTGCCTAAATTTATGGATAACACCTGTTTCGAAAGATTGGGTGAATAGCCAATCCGACACCGATACTTTCATTCGGGTAGCTAATTGTTTTTTTTTTTTTTTTTATCATTTGCAACGCAAATCCGCCAACAGATTGGTTAAGAGCCGTGTAATTCCATATTCATGAGAAATCGTAATTCACACTTAGAATGGCAATCATTAGAAATGATAAAAAATGTCAAATGAGCAAAATTAAGGACCGTTTATTCATTTTGGCCAAAATTAAGGACTTTTAAGGACCAAAAATCATTTTTGAAAAAATTAAGGACTTTTAAGGACCGTACAAACCCTGAATAATGGAATATTTTGAAGTGACTGTTCTTTACTTTTCCTTTTGGGTAAAAAATGAAGAACCTCTATATGAACTAATACCACATATAAACACAAGAAATATTTAAAACATTATGAATGAAACGTTTACTTCCCTAACTCTGCCAGTAGTATCAGTATCAAATGTACTAGTGGAACAACATCTTTTTTCCACCATTAAATTAACCAACAACTGAATAATATAGTTGGCTAATTGATTATATCTGAACATATACTGTAATTTTGTCTTTGTAAGCTAAACTGAACTGTGGTTATGATATAAACTGTTAAACTCCAGTTCTCAAATTTGTAACTTTTAACCTTTTATCATGTGCGCAATATTATTTGACATATTATGCAATATTTTGCAGTGTTAATACAGAAATAAAAATGCAGCCAACTTTGAAATACATATAAAACTAACTCATTAATATAATTTTTGAAAAAATAAGAGTTAAAGAAGATTCTCTGTGAAAATTCAAGATATGCTCCTAATAACAAAATCCCTTCACTAGCATCAAATAAGTATACATTGGCCTAAGTGGAAAAAATGGACTATCCAGATGGATTAGCTATGGTCATCCACATATTTGTAATTTTTGTTCAATTTAGAACATAAGAAATAAAGCTTACCATCACTGGAAGAATCACTTGACCTTCTTGATAATTTCTTGGAATGCTTTGAGTTTTTCATGACAGAATATGATTGCCTGTTAAAAAACATAAATTCAATACATCAAGCTACATTTCACAAAGTAAACTGTACTGTCATTTTGTTACATGCACCGGTCAATCAGCTAAACACTGGCAGATCCAATATTCAATTTCTGATTAAGTAAATCTTGCTCCCCCCCAACACACACACAAAATTTCCACTGTTCTGAACTTCAAGGGTAAAACTCAACCCCGCTATTAGCATTAATGAGTTAATGACTGGCTTTATAGCTGCACACTAAGATCTAAATTAACAACTTAATAGATCTGGAAGAGGCAGAAACAATATATATATACAAGGTGAACAAAGAATTTCATTTGCCTCTAAATGACTAGTGAATGCAGGCAGCTACAGGTATGAATGTAATTTCTAGTTACAGTAAAATAATGAAGTCCTCCAAAAATGATTAGCTGCAGCATCTTTCCTTACCTGCAAAATTCAGAGCTTGGATGATTCTATCTCATATCTATTATGATAGATACAGGAAAAAAAAATGTCCTTTACAAAACTGTAGATAACCATCAGTTTAGTATGAAAAGATATGACAAACAGTTTAAATTGAAGACAATGCGCACCGTATTGTTCGCATGAAGTAAATTTTCTTCAGAAATGAAATAGGAATTTTATTTTATATGCAAAGGCAATCATATTGGACATTGCCATACTAAGGATGAATGCAAAAATACTTTCTCAAATGCAGATATGCATTCTCACTAATGGCAACCTTTTTAAGTACTTTCTATAATTATTTGTAAAAAGTGCAGATTAAGTCCATTTACAAGTTTTGTTTATTGGTTAGTATCATTATGTTGTATAGAGATAATATATATTGCTTATCCATTGAATTACACTTTTGTAGTCATTTCTGCATTTTTATTCTTCAAGCACTGCAACAAAATGTTATATATTGATTTCACACATTTTAGGCTATACAAGTGTGTATTATATCCATATAAATAATACGTCTTTTCACACTAGATGGATTATGTTTTACAACTTTGTGACTGATACTTTTCCTGTACCTTCCATACTTTTTGAGAGAGGATCAAGAAGTTCTGAGTTTTGCTATTTGGGGAAACTACAACTAATTTCATTTTACAGGTTAGAAAAGGGAATTGCCGTTTTATTGTAAGTAGGCATTATATCCATAGCTATAACTGGTTCCGTTCACCAGAGTTAGAGATCTTACTAGCCCTATGCAAATATAGGAGTGTGTATTCACTAATGTTAATTTGTAAGCTAATTGCACTGGAAAATTAATAGTGACAATATTATTATCAAACATAACTGAAAATAAAATAGTATGAGAGGTAAAAATTGCAAATTTTAAATACATTTTTCAAACAGAAATTTATGCTATGACTTCTATTTCTCTGGAATTTTATCAAGATTTCAGTATACTGCTTTTATGGGTTCCAATGCTTTTAGTCACCATGAATTGTCATGACAACTATAATTATGCACAAAATTTCAAGGCAAATGGCTCAGTAGAAGAAAATGGCAAAAACTTGATTTCAAAAATTGATCCAAACAACAAACACAAACCTTAAAAAAGGTGGAGGTTAAAAAAATCTAATAAAAATGATTGTACTTTATCTTAATTTATATTTAGGATGCATTAATGGTTGACTAACTATGGCATGAGTTGAAATGATAGTTTAGAGAAGGGAAGAAATGTCAGACACTGAAAAATAGGTTTTTGTTGGCGTAACGGCTACTCACACGAGATAAAGGGGAAAAATGGGAAACAAAATCTTTGTGGCTTAAATTAATAAAAGATGGTATAAATTGCTGAATTATGTACCGAAAGGCCACTGAATTTGGGATAAATGATTAATAATACATTGCTGCTTCTTTAGCCTTGATAACATCTGTCACAGGATGAAGGGTAGGTTGAACCAGTCTAAGAGTTCCAGACTTCCAAATATCTTCTAGAATTTCCCATAAATTAGTTAGTAGTGGTGGATGATGTTCTTGTAAATTTTTTTGTCCACAGTAATTTGAAGGCGTTTGGTAGGATTTAAGTCTGGGCTTCTTGGTAACCAGATATAAATGATGATATGAGATCTATGTACTTAGGTGTCGTGATTACGTCAGGTAGGATTACCAAAGGTCATATACATAGACAAAAGAAATCACTTCAGACTATGTCATCATGACTTTCTGATGATCATGACTGAACTTGGCATGATGGATCTATTGCTAAATGGAGCTGGCACCACATTCATAGCCTACCATCAGCATGGAGTAGTCAGAATTGAGATTTGTTATTCCATGCTATTTACTTCCAGTCACTGATGGTAAAATCATTGTGTTCTATGGTCCATGTAAGACATGCAGCATCATGCAACACGTAGTGAGAAGTGGTGGATTGCACAGTTAGTTGTCGGCATTGCTCGAGAAGAGCCTTGATCTAAGGACTGGTGTTGCACTTCAAAGATCATGATCATTCAAAACAACTTGTCCCTTGCAGTCAGCCCAATTATTCTTTCTGTCCTCACTATCCATGCACTTTCACTTTACTATTTTTGTTATACCTCTTTGAAATGACATGGCACTACATTGCTACTGTAAAAGGAAGGAATGCTTACTTTGCTTCTGCTTGCGATGTTGGGTGTATGTGTCTTCTTTAAATATGAAAATAAAATGATAAAATGTAATTAGCTAGACCATTCTGAGGAATCCAGTAGAGTACAGCAAAATCACTGGGTAAATCCACAAGTTGTAGAATGCACAATTTGCCGCCATTTCTGCAGAATTTAAGAAAGAAGGTAAGTAGTTCTTGAAATTCTATGCATTATTAACTGCTTCCTTTACAAATTTTTTTGAAAAAAATTGCAAAAAATCATCCCTTTTTAAAATTTTATTATTAAATACAACAAAATGAAACAAGTCAAAATATGTAGGTTTTAAGTTGAATTTTTAATTTTTTGAAGGTTTAAAAGCATTTAGTTTTAATATTAGTTTACTATACTAAGTTATCTCGCACAAACGGAAACAAGTTAAATATTAGTCTTTGTATGATAGTTTTTAAAACAAAGGACAACACAAAATGATACCTGACATTCTGTACACTGGTATCTGGTCTCTTTTCTTACTGACTTAACGCTGGAATCTCTTCTACGGATGTACAGAGTATACTGTGTTGTTGGATTCAATTCCCCCTCACCTCTTCATAATCACTATCTGAAAAACCATCGCTTTCACTGTCTTGCATCATCGCCACTATGTTTTTTTTTTTTTTTTTTTTTTAAAGGCAAGTATTCTTTTTTATACATTACTAATCCACAAGACGACGTATACTATATGATAGGGAAACACGTAACCAGTCCCACCAAAAGAACCGCGCTACCAACAAAACTCGGCAAACTGCCAATTAAAGCTGAATATTTCCTTTCGTTTTCTTAAGGCCGAGTAAAGCCATGATAAAACAACAAATCGTACTAACAAATTCTGCTTCACCCAAGTTTTCCCGGGATAATAATTAACTGCAATATATACGAACCCAAGATAACTCGGGATAATCAGGCAGACGGTTAACAGTTGCACTGAATAAATTCTGAAATAAATTTATAATTATTGATAAGTGGGGCAAAAATGGTACAAAATTGAAAGATGCTCTCTCTAAAAAGAGAGCTCAAAAAACTATTTTATTGGAAAGAAACAGCAAGGAAAAGATGTCTTTAGAATAATCTGAAGAATATCTATTATTGATTCTAATTTATTTGCACATCTCAAAAGATTTATAAGCATTCCTATTATTCAAATTACTATATTTGCTTTTATTCTTAGCTAGAAACTTATCAGAGTACTAAGTTATGGTGGGAAAGAAATTTAAAGAAAGAAAAAATATCCACCATTACAGGTTTATTAGAATTTCATGTGAGGAAATAAACGCTTTTAGAATTCCAGTAATGCCTAGATAAAATAATCCAAATTTTTCTTAAATTCTTCAGTGATCTCTTCAGTTGTTTTCACGTGTGACTGAGAAATATGAATATATTTATAAACTGTGCAATGCAGAATTGTTAAATTATTTAAATGTCCAAAGTTTCAAAAGTTTAATTTGAAAAATACATGCAAGTATGCCAAAAAGCAAAATTTATGTTTTTACTCTTTTGAAAATCATGGAGCAAAAAATTGTCAATTTTTTTTTTTTTTTTTTTTTTACTGTGTGTGTGTGGGGGGGGGGGGAGCATAATTCATTACTTTGTTATGAGCAAGAAAAAGTTTATTGCAAAATCGGATCTCCACTGGATGAAAGGTCAAATGCCAGTCACTCTACTGAAACCCAGAAACTTATGTTTTCAGTTCTTTGGATAGCGTTCTCTTTGTTTAAAGGTAAAATTTTGATTAGAATTTACTTTATTTTTTTCTTGCTTTGGGGAGGGACCAGAATTTTCAGGTGAACTATTATAATTAAAATACATTGGAATAGTTCATTAGCTAATTCTGCATACAGAAAAGCAAGGATTTTTTGTGAAAGAGAGATTTCAATGTTCCTCCTCCTGACGAAGTGGCACTGAGGTTGATCAAATTCCTCTTCTTTTATATTCTTTAAATTTCATTGATTTTTTTTAATTAGGGTATTACTTGTTTAAAGTATTTTATTTTTAACATTTAATAAATCCTTTTTTACATTTATATGATTTTTAGGAAATTTATTACTTATGAATTTCAATTTTTGGTCTTTGAGAAAAATTGGTTCTAAATTTCTTATTTTATATCTTTATTGATAATTTTTCAGCAGCTATACCCATGAAAATACTAGGCATGATTATATCATTTTTTTTAAAAAAAATTGTTTTGTAATTATATATATATCAGCAAATAAACCATGTGGATGGTTGAGAAAAATCAATATGTCTATTGGTACAGATATATTGATTCATTTATATAATTGCATTTCATAGTATACCCGTTTATATGATTGTATCTATCTATCTTATACACATGCATATATACACATACAAAGGATTTTGAAGATGATCATGTAAAATATAACTTTTCAGTGCAAAAGCCTAAAGTGCACAAATGTGAGCAGAATACAATGTTATGATCCTTTTAATTCATAAGTGAATTCAAGTTAGGGCAAAGATTAATTTCTACATTCTTGACACACATAAACTATACAGCGAAGGCAGTCTCAGCTGATAAATTCTTCTTTCTACTGATGATTTTGATTGACAAGAACGGGTATTTCATTGATCCTAACCTTTTTCTCTAGGCTATACAGACTAATATTTTATTTATTTAAGCTATTTTATCAGCTACTCAGACAGCAAGGAATAAAAAAACAAAATCAACAGGGTTTGTCATTTTCTGTATATATTTTATAAATTAAGTAGCAAATTTGAAATCTCCGTAGTAGACTAAATTTCTTTTCACCTTATTTAATGTCCTGACCATACGGAATCTATACGTCTCAGTGTCCAGGAAAAGTTTAACCTTCCGTTTATATGATTACATTTCATAGCTGTCCCTATCTACTTGCACTCAGGTTTAACCTCGGCAGCAGGGGAACATAAGTTGTCTTCACAGGACTAGAACCATTGATTATGTGGTGGTAAGTTCAGGCTCGGGGCAGGGACCGTATCGATACTGTCTTGTCTGCCTCTGAATGTGTGGTCACTACATATTAAACACTGAAGTCTGTCCTCCAGGTGTTGCCTCATTGGTTGGATTGAGGATATTGATGTAGTCATAGTTTTGACTGCTTTTTGGTGACCGCTTGGTGGATAGTTGCCCAGTTGATGGACTTGTGTTATTTAAAGCTCGGTCTGCTCTCACTCTTGGAGTGAAGGGGATTGATGTAGTCAATAGATCGATATGGTTAATATCTTTGATCTGTGACTTTCAATGTGGCTTTGCTGTCTCTCTCCCTGGGCTGATCGGCGGGACTGCAGCGGAGTAAAAAACTGTGTAAGCCTGGGTCTGAGCTCCATCTTTAGCATATTGTACCTTACTGTATTTCATAGCTTAATTAATTTTATTAATTATTTAATTTTAATAAATTTTACACTAATCAAGTTTTCCATGATTTTAAAATGCAAAAATTTTGTCTGCCATGTACAAATTAATTTTACTTTTACCTCCTAAATAAAAGCTAAGGCTGTTAAGTTTTTATGAAGGTGCAGAGATCCTAAAACATCATTCTTAAATTCACTTGACACATTACTGCTTTCTTGTAAAAATAATTTCTTCGCATTACCCCCCCCCCAAAAAAAAAAAATCAGAGCACCCTTCTGTTTAAGCATCACACAAAGGAAAAGAACATTGTTATAATTACTTGTAATGTTTTTTAATAAGTTTATTTTTTTTCATAATTCAGTTTTTATGAAATGATAAAATTCACTAAGTTATTTCAAATATAACCACATATGTCATATGATGCCAGATAAAAAAAATAATTGAAAAAATCTCTGCTATGCTATGTTACATATTTGGTTTTGTTATTGAAATCTAGGTACAGAATTAAAGATCAAGTAAAATATGTACAACTTTTCAAATCTTCTATGATGTGTATACAGAATTATATTTTGCATTATTTGCAATGCGACTACAGAAGAATCTGAGAGTTGTATATTTGTAATTTGCACAATTATTTTATTTTTATTACTAAATTTATCAAATAAAACAATGAAAGAACTGATGAAACATTTTTCCACAATTTCTGCATCAGTAAATAATTTCATACTTTGCCAAGCATGTAACAAATTTCATATCATGTACATATAACCACTGCATTTTGTGAAATTGCCATTATCATATTTGGCTATTAACATTTCTTAAGAAAAAATAATTTTTCACTTCTTTCTAAATCTTTGAAGCCATTAAATAATCTGTATTTGTTAATACTAACAAAATTGAGATGTGCATACATGAAATTTACATCTATAACCATGCATTTGGCAGCAGCTTGTATTTTAATATCTGTACCAGTGACATTACAGAATTAAAGATTCATAAAGCCATATAAAACTCGAATTTAACATGCTTTTGAGAAATTTGAAATTTTAGTACACTGCAGGTGGCCTTCAATCTTTGTTTTCAAAACATTTAAATTAATTTCATTTTGGGCTACACATACAAGCTTACCAGGTCATATTTGGCCTGCGAGTAGAATAGACTGCTGATACGAATAAATAAAGGATCAAATACAAGAACTGGTATTGCTTACTTCTTCAGCTTTCTCCCTACATTTAGTTTTAAATTGCGTTTCTTATATCTTTCTTTCACATTCGCAGCCATCCTATTAATATGATTCGTCTCTTTGACCATCGTTTTCTTTTTGCACATATCACATTTCCATTTGCCTGTAAAAGAAAGCACTGCAATTAATATTCAAAATTTGCAACAAGATAAGAAATAATGCTAAACATGTATAGTATACTCTTTTTGTAACAGCTACACAATATGCAGTCTCGTATTGTCACAAAGTTATAACTCCAAACAACCAGATTCCAAATAATTAGTAAAAACTAGATAACAAGATTCTTCTTCTCTGCAGGCTGAACATGTATCAACAGTAATGTATGTAATAATTTGTCATATTTTCTTTTAATTATAAAAGCACTTTTACTTACATAAAACAGAAAGTACAAAATATATTACAATTAAACAAAGGAATTTCTTATTCACATATGTCTGAAAGGAAATAAGTTATTAGTTATCCATGTAATTACACAAACCATTTCTATTTTAACTAAAGTAAACTTAAGAAATGAAATTTATTTATCCTTTAACTCTTTATGTGTGCGATATTATTTTTATAACTTTCTTACTAAAAACTCAAGAAATTGAATATTATGATCGTAGAGACTAAGAATATATGAATTTAAAAAAAATCTACTCTTGCCCATTGTTCTGTGGGTGGTGGTCGCACTGTGAAACCACCGTGCGTCTAGGACTTTGAAACTTACTTAGGTTAGTAGGGGAAAAAAACTTACCTTTCTTCGTGTGCGTTTCCAATAAATGACGAAATTTACGAATTTAAAAAAAAATGTAAGTAAGAATTGCATTATATATAATTTTTTATATTATTTTACAAAGTAAATCGTCAGAAAAAATTAAAAAATAAACATTTATGTAACTTTTCTGTAGCAGTGAAAATATAAGAACCTACATAATAAGGACATTTGGCTAAATGGATTAAAAAAAAACTCTGTAAAATAAGGATAAAAAAAGACTCAGTGTTTTTTTTTAATTTCAAAGAACAATTTTTTTTTTTTTTTTTTTTTTTTAGCGACACTGTTGAAAACATGTTTGTCTTTTTGGCACATGCATAGACCCACATGGCACGTTTTCGCATGTGTATCTTCTATGAGGTTTCTTCTTTGTGCTACAAAATGTACACCGCCTGGATTTAAATTTCACTGGTATATGTTATTTAGTTTTTTTTCATCTGGCACATGAAATTTGTGGTTTTTTATGTTAATTGGAGGGGGCTTGGTCTTTTTGGCTTTGGTACGGATCATTCGCTTCACATTCATGGTGATTTTATTCGAATTTCGTCCAAAAATATTCAGAAAATATTTTAAATTTAAATAAAACTTTAGGCGATTTCTATTTTTAATTATAGTAAAGTATATTTACATTAAATTTAAACTTCAGGAAATAATTTATAAATTCACAATACTAGCTTGGGGAGCAAGTGTGTTGAGGTCAGAGAAAAGTCTCTGGAAAAGAAAGACTTTTCACTGGTCAGGTGCATGCATTGTTTTAGTAATAAAATAACGCTGTGGTTTCAAAATCCCTTATCTATATCCGGGTAAAAATACACATTCCTATTTGAGAAGCAAGCAAACGCCATTGCGAAGAGCAGTGGTTTCAAGGCACGACCACCGAACCTAGTGGGGCAGTGATCGCGCCCTGAAACCACAAAGCAAATGCAAAATTTCGGAAAGGGAAGAAAAAAATTCAAAAATTGGTGGTTTCAGAGCGCGACCACCGCCCGTCAAAGGGTTAAAGCAAAACACATTAACTTGATTTTATTATTAAAATTAAGCAATGGAACAATTAATAAAGCAATAAACATCAGTATTAAAACACTAAATTTTTTAGAAATCCTTCCTTAATGTTTTTGCTGTCTTCATGTACAAAACAATTTGCTTTAGCTAAAAAAAACATGTGAATTGCAAAACTAAACACTGCACAGAGTTTCAGCTATGCATGCTGGCCAATAATGAATAAAAGTGCCCACACTCTAATACTTTGCTTCTAAATTTTACATCACATTTGCATAAAATTCAGCCATTTAAGAACTACAAATTTGAAGAATGTGAATTTTTGCTTTCTCTATTGCTTGGTAAAACACTGCATTTCTGCAGAAATGCAATGCTTTTTTTATAAGCCAATGAGCTCCACAGTCCCAATATAATTCAATACACAAAAAAGAACACTAATAAGAAAAATGACAGTAGAATTTCAAATGTGCAAATCCGATGTGTAAATAGACGTTGGTATACGCACACATTGCGACCATTAGAGTTGCACGATCTACTCTGGAACTGTTTCAAAGAACCGATTCACTTTAACTCTTTTATAAATTCATGTACACATGTTTAGAGCTCTCATTGAAAGCTCTCCAGGGAAATTAGATTTACATTTAAGGGAGAAAAGAATGTTTATCCTCTTATGTTAAAAGTAAGTTTAGTTTTTATCAAATCCCAAATTTAAAAAAAAAAAAAAAAAAAAAAAAAAAAAATTTAGTTCTTTGAAGAAAGGAAGTTTTAGGTAATTTCAAAACTGCAGTTGAAAGACATCAGTTCAGGAAGCTGGCATTTCATTAAAATAATTTTTTCAATCCTATTGCTCATCTGATTCTTCTTGCTTTTCCCTCCAATCTTGTTAGCCACTCACAATTTCACTGCTTGTTCGATTCTTTCCACTATCCTCAATTCACTTCTCACTCCGAATCTTTTTCATCACGGTTACCGTTAGTGAGTGATGAGTCATGAAAAAGAACCAATTCATTTCAGTGAGTAAAAATTATGTTCCAATCTTATAAAAAAGCTGGTTTTGCCCATTTCTAGTTTCTACATCCATACTTTTTTGGCAACATCATAAGTTACCACATAATTATTTTGGCATACACTGCATTGCTCATGAATACTTTTTTGTGACTTTTCAGTGTGGACGCAGGCAATCAGACAGTACCAAAATGTTATAACTTAAAAACTAAAATTAATAACTTTACTCGGGTAAAAACTCTACTCAGTTTAATCACTGTTTACAATGCTAATTCAGAAATCTTGAAATAAGTCCATGTCAATATCTGTAAATATGTATGACTGAATGATTTTGAGCGCTATACAACTAAATGGCTTGGCTATGTTTCGAGCATTCACTGACAACTACACATTTTTTACGAAATTTGTATATATATAGATAATTTTAGTGAAATTACGTAAAGCTATTGAAATCCAAGTAACAGTTTCTACTGTCCAAAAACTAACTAAACAACAAATTGATGACAGTGTTTCTGTGCTCACCAAAGAAGTTGATACCTTAAAGAAATTAACAGCAACAGTGGAAAGCAATTCTGATGTTTTAAAATTTTTACCCATATCTTTTCGCCCTTCTTTAAAGCTATCCACATATAATGTAAGACCGACCTCCTGGTAAGTGTAGAATTCGCTATAGTGGCAGGCGTGAATGCATGGGATTCCCAAGCTACGGTCTGCCAGCTCGGTGTTTCTCGAGTGCAAAAGCAGAGGAAATCCTTCAAACCCTTCCTGAAAAACAGAGGCTAGACTTCAAAGCTCTACCTGGCACATTGGAGTTGTACTTTGGTGAAAAGTGTTTAAAAGACCACAGCAGGCTTCAGTTAAAATCTTATCAACAGAAACCCACTGAAACATTCCAGAAGCTTGCCACAGATGTTGAAAGGCTGTCTCATCTTGCCTTTTTGTACTGACCTTCAGAAACAAGGGAAATCCTGTCTCTGTAGTATATCTCTGCTTTAATCAAAGGCATCCAGAATCTTGAAATACAGGACGTTCTGAGAATGGCCAGTATCAAGGATTTAAAAAGCGCTCTAGTGTGCACCATGAAATTCGAGACAGAGCAGCAAACAACTCATAGAGACTGCCACCCAATAAGAGCTGCTCCAGTTTAAAAGGCAGTGGATCAAGTGACTGCTTGGCTAAAAAATTTAACAAGTCAATGCTTTTATGTAGAATAGGAAACCAACCCTAAAACGCTGGAACTGTGGTGCTGAAGGACAAATAAAAAGGAACTGTAGAACACCCCAAGGCAAGGAAGTTAAGACCGCTCTTCCAGCAAGGAGCAGGGAAACTAATTAGTGGTCATCTTGTAGGGCAACCCCATGAGATGAGATTATAGATAATGAGATTATGACAGAATCTGAAGTGCCTTAAAATGCCCCCCCCCAGATAATGAGAAGGCCCATTTTAAGGCACTTCAGATTTTTGCCATGAGTGGCATCCGTAATGGATTCTTCATCATGGGACATATCAATTGAGTTGCTTGCAATACGATCGTCGATACAGATGTCCGATGTTACCATCATCTGAAAAGATCCGGCTCAACAACTGGATGGTAAACTCATCTGGAAGTCATTGCACATTAGCCTCCACATTGTGTCTGGAGTTAAAATCGACATCCATGGAAATTAAAAGTAAACATCACATTTGTAAGTGCTGTGTACCATCACAGTCACCATCATATGTAGCAAATATGACAGACCTTTGGATATTCGGATTTGACTACAGAAAAATAATTTTTTCTTGGACTTTAAAAATAATGAACTGCATTCTGCCTCTGAGGACATAACTCTATTCGAAATTAATGATAAAGGAGTTAAATCTGTCCACCAAATCACAGCTCAAGAGATAGCACAAGACCAGCAAGAATAGAATTTTTACTTCCTGGATCCATAGCTGAAAACAGAAATTTCTGGTATGATTTAATCAAATATCCCAAGAACAGTAACACACTATAAGGAGCACAAGTAGCATCGGCACTCGTCGACCTATCGAGGATCGTTATCCTTGTGAGAATTGCCAATGTAACTGATAAAGCAAAAGTCATTAGAAAAGGTGGTTGCAGCACGTATTCCAGTGACTTGCATTAAACAAAACAGTATCCCTCCAGAGACCGTAACATAGGAGTTATTGTATAATGTGAAATTCAGCGATGAAGAGAGGAGTGCTGCCAAATGTGTCATCCAAGAATTTCAAGATAGTTTCTCTCGCTTGTCTTTTGATGCCAGTTGAAGCAGTTTGAGACAGAAATCTACATTTTTTATGCTGTTGCAATAGGAAGAGAGCACAGCAAAATAGTATCTTAATGGGAAGAGATATAGAAACAAAGTGAAATTATCCAATATGGCGGCTTACCAAGAGAAAGTTTTAGTTTAGGTAACTTATTAAGAGAAAGGGTTCAGTTCTCGAAATTTAGAGTTTAGATTTCGAATTACTACTAGTAGTGTTATGCAAGCCATGTGACAGACTGATCTAGAAAAGACACTGTCCAGAAAACTTATTACTATTTTTAGAATACAGAGAGGAAATATCCAAATTAAAAATGAGGAATTAAGAGCCTACTGCTAAATTAAGTTATAAAGCTGGTTTTTATATTTTTTATCTTATATATATATACACACACAAAAAAAAAAGATATAAAAAATACAGATACAAATAACAGATTTTTATTTAAATACATCATTTAAATTTAAAAAAAGAAAAAAAAAAAAAAAAAAAATACTTGGCTAGAAACAAATGATTCATCAACTATATATATATATACAGTCAAAAGTCGTTAATTCGGACACCCATAATCCGGACCTCAAAGCTACAAACTTTCTGCGCATGCGTCGCGTTCACGCATGCGCACAGGCGTTTACGAGAACGCGTAAGACCCTTACGGCTGCGAATATGTTTGTGCGCATGCGCGCTTAATGCGTAACGGAGTTATACGCTAAGCTAAAGTTATCTAATTCAGTTAATGTTGCAGATTGCGTTGTTCCTTAATCTTCGAAATTGGATCCGGCTTATTATTTTTTGCAGACTGTTAGAGCAGTTTTATAAAAGTAAGCTTGAACTTTCAATTATGTCAAATAGAATTTCCGATATATATTTACTACAAAGCGAAAGTATGTTTTGAAATCCGAAATCTGTTTATCAATTTCACGCTGCTCTGCGGCAGAGGGGGGGGGGGAGAAATGTCATTATTAGATTATGATAGATTAGAAAGATTATGTCAAATAGAATTTCCAATATATATTTACTAATATGTAATTTGTATCTACAAAGGGAAAGTATGTTTTGAAATCCGAAATCTGTTTATCAATTTCACACCCGGATTGGAAGTTGATCTGTCAACACTATCCTTATCTTCAGAGCAGATGTTTTTATTTTATTTGGATTATAATTTGGTACTAAGTGTAGTATTTCATCTCGATGTACTTGGTCTTTGATATGATTTAAATCAAGTTCCTCGTCTTTGATATGATTTAAATCAAGTTCCTTGTCATTATAATTCGCTTCCGATAGTGAAGAAAGTGACCCAGAGGTTATTGAAAACGAAAACATTTCGATTGACAAATTAGTCGGTATTCTCAACACAGCAATTATAGGACTTTAACAGCGGAACTTTGTAACTAAACAAGAAATTATGTCTGTTTAATGGAATTAAAGAGAAAGTATTATCACATGAAACGAAGCAACTTACATTGAAGGAAATGTTTAATAAAGTAAACAAATAAATATTAAGTTTTTTCTTTTTGTAAATTTTGATACCCTTTAGATCATAATTGTTCTTTATTTCATAAATTACGGTTTCATATTTTTAATTTTGTAATTTTTGCATGCCATCTTACCAGATTTAAACTGATGATTTATAATCCGAAAAAATCGATAATCCGGAATCGCCGAAGTCCCGACGAGTCCGGATTAACGACTTTTGACTGTATATATATACACACACACATTTTTGTAATGATTTTGAAAAGCTTTATATGTAAACAAACCTTACAATTTTATTTTCTAATCTATTCAATCTGATAGCCCTTTTGTTGAACTATCATATCACATCTTGATTTCCAAGAAAGTCCTCAAGGTTGATTTTATTCCACTCCTCCTTTATAATTTTCCAGAGTCTATCCAATGTTTTGGGATGTCATTTATAAACAGCCTGTTTTAGAAGTCCAGATGCACAGTAATCCATAGTAGACACATTAAGGTACTTGGGTGGGATGCATTTAAAGGGAATAGCTTTAATTCCGGTACCATTTCTCATTTTCCCAAAAAACAGAGCAGTAGATTTAGAATTATGCCTTGGAGCCTTACCCTGATGGAACTTAACACAGTGTTTGGACAAAGAGATTTAATTTCTTTTTTAATAATAGATGTTAAAACATATTTCTGATAGTAATCCAAATTAATTTTGACATTTTTTTTTCTACTTTCCTTATTTTAAATTTTCTATTGTAAGAGAATCCAAGAATCCAGTAATAACCATAAAATCTTTAAAAAAACTTTCCCATTTTCTCTGAATCGGTATATTAAGTCTTTTTCTCTACTTTTTCGGCAGTAAATTGATCTTTTTCTACTGCAGTCAGACAAGTATATCCAAGCCTCATCTATTGTAACTAGACACTTCTATTTTTCACCTGCCAATTATTTTCATATAACAATTTGCACATAGACTTACGCTGAGAAACATGTTTTGGCGTTACGTGATGAACATCACGCTTTTTGTTTTGATTAGTTTTAAATCAGATTTTATAATTTTGTTCACAGTTCCTACAGAGATATTTAAAGATTTTGCTACAGCTCTTTGGCTGTGGCTGGATTTTCCTTTAAAACATGAGATATGAATTTAGATTTAATAAGAGCTTTACGCACCTTTATTGGGTATGCTTTTTTTACCCTTTTCTCAGTCAGATGTAAACTTTGACGTTTCTTTTCTTTTATATTAACTAATTCACTTATTTTGTGTAGAAATATCAAAACCATACTTTTCACATCTTTGTATTTCTCTTCGAACAGAACAAAAATATAGCCCTCAATCCACTGTTTATCAGCGACATTTTACAGAAAAGAATATTTTTAAGGCTGCAGATGACAATTAAATTTTATTCCAATTTGATGCCAGTCTTGTTTGTATTTTAAAATTAGTATTTACATTCATGGAGAAACATAAAATCATTACAAAAATGTGTAAACACCCTTTGCATACACACACACACACACACACACATATTAAAAAAAAAAAAAATATCCAGAAATACAAACCTCTTGCTGGCCTTGGAAAGACAGGGGGGACACATGTGGCATGGTATCCTTTATCACATAAATTGCAGCATAACATTCGCTTCTGAAAGCAAAAATTTATATCTGGTCACAAAATCAAAATCTGGAATGGATAACACAAATATTTCATAGGAAAACTCTATAAAACCTTTTATGATCAACCCAAGCATATTCTCTTCACAATTTTAATGCTCAGCAGGAGAATAAAATACAAGACAATAATATAAAAGAATAAAGGCATTATAAATTATATTACATCTGAAATACATAACCAAAAGTAGAAGGGGGGAAAAGTTCATTTTATTGAAAATTTGAATTAATGAGAATTCTGATACCAAGCACAGATATCCATATAAGTGGTGGAATTTACTAAATTTAATGATAATAATTATTTTGATACATAAAAATGTCGTATTATAATTAATTTCAAAACATCCACGTCATAAATCCTATATTTACATTAAAAATATGCTACACAAAATAGCATAAAATGATATGGCAATGATAATGAATTGGAAAATACAGATCTAATTGAAAATGATATTGTAATTAATCAATAGAGCATTTTCTTTCATTAATAGGAACATACGCAAACACATTAAGCAATGTAATAAAAACAATGTTTAAATAACTTATTTAATTTTTTAAAGAAAGTATATTAAACAAATACTTTTCTGGGGCATCCGTTTCAGATCTGCTAACTTATTTATATCTCATTATAAACAGCAATAGAATTCTTTGATTTTTTGAAGAGAAAGCATATTTTTGTGGCCGTGGAGAGAACAACACTTTCATTTTCATGTACACAGCAATCTATTTTCATTTAAAAACATCACAAAATTGTACAAACTTACTATTAAAAATAATATATATTATAATCATATTATGTAAATTAGGTTTCTTATCAAGAAGGTTTATATATTAGTAGAGTTGCCACCATCTAGTTAGATTTTGTGCCAACGTTTTTGTTTAGTGGTAAGTGGCAACCTGTAGAAAAGTACCAGTAAATGATTCAGAACATAAAATATTAAACAGATTAGTTTTCCTTATTATGTTCAAAAATTAGATTCCATTATTAAAATGAACTGTTATCTTCAATTTTAAAAGTAATGAAGTCACTTAGGTACATGAATGATAAAAAAAAACACACATATGCAAATCACTCCATGATTTAGGCAATGACTGCAAATCAAGCAAGCGCGAATTACTTGACATTTAAAGTTTTAACAAAGAAGGTTAAGATGATGAATTTGAAAGGTATGATGCTTGGATATGTTTCAAGGCACAAAGCGATGCATCTTCTTATTATCTATAAAAATAAGGGATTCTGCTTTAAAAATAAAAAATTAAACTTAACAACAACTTACAAACTTAAACTACATATCAACTTACAAACTATATAACAGGATTTCAAAAGAATTTTTACCAGTTACATCTGAACTAAAAGTCATTTTACAATGCAAAATTAGGTAAGAATGTGATTTTGAAAATACACAAATGGGAAAAAAAATCCCAACACCAAGAAATAATAATGCTAGATAAATGAAATTTGGGAGGCGTGTTTGCACATCTGAAAAATCTTGTGTTAGACAAATACGTGTGTAGCTAGTAGCGACACGACAAACATGCAAATCACATTTACTTTAAATACATGATGTAAACTATGCATACATTATTTATCTTCTGGGTTGGGTGTTGTGGACAAGATCTGAGTCAAGAATGCTTTTAAGGAGATGTAAGCAGCAGTATCAGCAACTTACTGAGTTTGAATGAGATTGTGTAACAGGGCTACAAGAAGGTAGATTTTCTTTTTGCAATACTCAGAAAGACTTGGCAAAGATGTTGACACTGTTGGAATTTCACTTTCTATCAGTGTATATTAATATTTAACTCATCGTAATAAATTTGACTTTGTTTTTGAGCTAATTTCATTTCTTTACAGCTGAATTTGAAACTAATAATCTAAATTCAAATAAATTTTAAACACCAAGACAGAAAGGTCAAGGGTTAATATTAAGAGGATGAAAAGAATTCAATACTTTCAAGATCAAGTACTTAAGAAACAACACTCGGGTACAATTCACTACAGAAAACATAACTTACTTCAGAGATATGTGAAAATTAATTATCGATAAAAATTATTTTAACTACAACATTTTGCTTCAGAAATAGACTAATATTTTCCAGCATTTGCATATACTGCATGTGTGATTTAATTAAACTCAGTGTCCCAAATAAAAAGGCTATATCTGTTTATCATAGTTTATATTATAACATTTTCTCTTACATTCATTAAGTGTAATACTATTACATTAGTTCAGAATTAAGACAGAATGCAAAAATTTGCCCCATATCAGTTAATTTTCTTCAAAGTCTTATAATCACATATAAGAATAACATAATTTTGCACATATCTTCCTGTAGAGACAATCTCAATCAGAATCACAAAGTGTTGCTCTAATGATAATTTTATTACTTTTGAGCCATCATCTCTGAACAAACGCTTCTCATTATTAAATTTTCCCATTCTTCCCTTTCTCTCTCTCTTTTTTTTTAAGTAATGCAACATAAAATAATAACTAAGTTTAAAACTTTATAAAGCAATAGAAGCTATTTTTTTTAAAAAATTGTTTTTAATATAATGCCAATACAAGTCTCCAGAGAATATTCCATGAACACAATTCTCCTTTTAGATATACAGCCATTGTCATACTAACTAGTAACCACTGAAAAAATAAATAAATAAATAAATAAATAAATAAAAATAAAAAAAACTGATTAACTAGTAATCATCTTAAAAAAAGAGTTTAGTTTGGTTTTGTGAAACAATGGAAAAATTATAATCAAAGACTATCAGCTTAAAACAAACTTGTCTGCAGAAAATATGACACAAAAATGCATGGGATAATAGTAATGCAGCAGATAACATAATCATTTATAGTTTTTCTTTACTTCTAATGATATTTATTCTTCTGTTATTTACAGTGTGCTCTTTTTGTTTTGAATACTGATTAAATTTACTTATGAACTACTTTACCAAATAAACTTATTCTCAAAATTATATTGCTTGAATATACAGGTTGAATGTTAACAGTTTTTTTTTTTTTTTTCCTATTAATTAGAAAATAGACTATTCCTCTTTTTCTATTTTTTTAATTGTTCTCAGATTAAACACGATTTTGACTCAATCACAGAAGTCATCTCTAGTATTACCCTGCTAGATGGAGAGTTGACTACAATCCTAATTTTTGCTTATTGGCTGCAGATTTCATCAAAATACATAAAGTGCCTTAAACACAATTAAGAAACTAAACGATTCTAAATTTTTTATGTAGAAAGTAGACAAAGTAACAGAACAAAACCGCTGACAATTTGATACAATTTTAAAACTATAATTTACGTGAAAGCTATAAATTCGTCAAATTTACAAACATGGTGTGACCTCATAAGAAAATATAGAATGAAATAAGCAAGGGATGTTCCAGAAAATATGAAATAGGAAGAATAAGGGTGTAAAATTTATCAGCTCTTTAGGGTTTACATCGAATTAAAAGCAACTAAATTCAAATTCTTACATTTTCAGTTTTCACGCCACAGACAACACATATCTTACAACGACTACATTCCCACTTGGCTTCTTTAACCTGTTTCATGGCTTCAGGCAACAGACCGCAGCATGACGGATGCCCTGAAATAAAATATGTACTGTTATTCATCTGGAGATAACTAATTTAAAAAAGAAGAAATAACATACCTCCATGCAACAAACAATATCATTTATTAAATTTAGTAACCAGACAACAGCAATATGAGCTATGGACTGTTACATAATTGCACAAATTTTCTATTAATCAATCTAGAAATGCAAATTAATAAAGAAACATTTATAAGGACTTTAAAAAGTTAAATGTTTTTAAACTAATAAATATAAAACTATTGAAAACTGTTTTTATTTACAATTGCCTGAATTATTATTATTATTATTATTTTGTAGAATCATCTAATATATTTGAGTGTGAATAACTTAGCAATAAGCATGTAATATAAATAAGCATGGAAAAATTATACAGGTGTGGAGTTTTTTTCCTTAAATTACTTGCACGAGTTTTCCTCATAAAATATGAAAACTTTTCATTTTCAAGCAGAATGAATACTTTACTTATTGGAAGCTTTCTTTAACCCCTTTGCAAGAGCATGCTGCTGAGTTGAAAAGCCTTTGGAGAAGGGTGTGTCATATATGCATCAGTCCCAAATTTCACTAGCAGCTAGGTGATGCACTGGTGCATCACCGTTTGCATTCATCTCTCAAAGCAGGGACCATATATGCACTCTCAAACATACACATTCTTTTAGAATTTTTTAAATCACTAGATGGTGCTTCATGTCCATATTGGTTAGCTTATTTGAACCTATATATTGTTGATCTTGGGTCCATAAAGTACTTTATGATTCTGGCGATTGGTTTACATGTATGAGCCAGAGATATAAAGTAAATAAAATGTAGCTCACGTGCAGCCAAGGCTTTATGCGATGTAAACACTGAACACTTTCAAATGCTTCAAATTTTTTTTATCCCCCCATGGCAAGATTGAAGAAACTTATAATTTCTATGAACAAAAAGATCAGTGAGAAAATCCAACTTCATTCAAAATTAATGTACTCCTGTAGATGTGACTAAAATAAGGGAATTCCTAGGATTAATTATTCTGCTGGGAATAATTAAACGGTTCGACCTGAAAATTTGTTTCGTGACTAATGAAATGACAGCAACTAGATTATCACACATTGCCTCCTTTCTGAATCATTTATGCTATAATATTTAATCATATATTTTATTATTTTTTACGTATGTTTATATATAGATTTAACCCTTTGATTACATATTTTAAAAAAATTACCCCATTTTCTATCCAAGTGAACAGAATATGTCATAAATAAAGTAAATGTGCATATGGGATTTTTTTGACAAACGGTCTTCAAGCTAAAAGCTGGGACACATGTGTCCCACATGTAGCAATTGACTTACTATAAACACACCCATTATTATGGAAAACTTATTATATGAAATAGATTTACATCGTATGGTACAGAGTAAGATTAGATATATTGGACATTCCCCTTCCCGTCAACTAAGGACACTAAGGGTCCTCATCCCCCCCCTGCCGAACTAAGCCTAGAGGTTCAGCCCCTGTCATAGAACATTGGAGGGAGTGGCAGCAATGCACCTGGAGTGACAGAGACCCCAAGGCCCCACTGGTCGTCAATTACCTATCAGTTGCATAGGGTTATTACTAGAGCCATCTACTTTAGGATGTGCCAGACTCACAGGCCGACCAATGAATGACCTTTCTGGGGCCTTCAGAACCACTAGGTTCATAACTTGTATACTCCTGTAGCTGAGACTGCCTAGGTGCAGATCCTAGCCAGTAGCTTTGCAGAGTTCTCTACGTCGACCACCTTGGGGGGGGGTGGTACAGGGTAAAGCATTCTTTGCATAAGCCAATATTACACATTGCGCAACTCATATTTATTCTTTTCTTCATGTTTATTTGTGTACAATGATCCCAGCAGCATCTTGATTTTCCAAATTGGAAGATGATTCCCAAAATTCAGGAGATTCTAAGTACTTTTTAACCCAGCAGTAATTTTTAAGCTTTTAGTGAGACATATATGTCCCGTTAGTAGTCAGAGGGTTAAGTAAGTTTTTTACAACATTTCATCAAGATGAGTCAAATATTTTACTTTGCATTTAGATTTTAATAAAAAAATTTTCAGAATATCTTGATATTCTGCGACTCCTGATATTTTTTTAGACATTATTTACATCTTTTGCAGCACAATTTATGAAAAAAATTCCTTTACCTGCATTATAACAAGCACATACTGGCCTAGAAATTAATGCAATTGTGCTTTCTAATTATCTTTATTTCCCAGAAAAGTCTCCAATGCATTGAAGATATTGTAAATTAGCAAAAAAATATCTATTTACAACTTGCAGTTACTGTTCCACTCATAAATAATGAAAAGTATAATTTTAAAACAAACAAGAATTTTAGAAGAAATAAGCAAAAATTTAGAAGATATTTTCAATTTTACAGCTGCTAGGTACTGCTCAGCTATAGCCATCACATAACCTTTCACAATATTAATATTTAATTCATTGAGAAACAGAATTTAACTATCCACAGCATAAATAAATTTTACTATGCATATTCAATAAACATAGCATTTGATTTTTGAACTTAAACAATTAAACAAATGAAACATTTTTACTATAAAATATTTAAAAATGATATTCAGGTATAAGTTTTTGACATCAGCTATGACAGACATCTTTACAGGAAATGATTTAATGCTGAAATAGGGAACAATGGTAGTCAGGAAATATCAATAAATCTTTCATATTCCCTTGTTAAAAGTAGCCACTGCATAAGCTTTTGGCAACACTTGAAATTTGCATGCCATGAGTAGGATATAGGTGTGCCGCAATCAAATACATGTATTTGACATTTTGCAATTTTTTATCATGTATTTAATACACAATGACAATTTTTTTCCTTAATAATGTCTATTTTAAATGTTTTTATATATTTCACTGTTGTATGGTTGTGTGTGTGATTGTAAGTGTGTCAGCATTTGAATTTTTTTCATCACTTCCTTGATAACTCGGAACACTTTGGTGTGCCACGAAATTCCAGAAAGATTTTTTGTGCATCGCAGGTGAGAAAAGGTTGCGGAGCACTGCCATAGAATGTGTAATTAAGTTTGCAATTTTGTACTTCTGAATACCTCTAAGAACAATAATCTTGTTCAAATAGTGCCTCAAGCTTACAGGCAATAATTGGACTCAGCCACTCTCCACTAGTAAGGGAAATTCAACATTTACTATCCTATTTCTCAGAGAATACCCATCCCAAGCTTCATTGGACATGCACTCATGTGGGCAATGAAACAGCAGATCAACTGGCAAGAGATAGTGCAAACAGACAACTTGCTCCAGCCATCCCTTCCTCCCAGTGCCTTTAAGGGAATGAACAACTACAGGCAGAGGAACAACATATTTCATGATGGTGCACAGCCCTTTTGCAGGCTATCTGCTTCGCTTCGGATTGCATCACACAGATTCATGCATATGCAGCTCAACAGGTACCATCGATCACTACATGTTCGAGTGTCAAATCACCAAAGACCTACATTTCCAGCTGTATACAACTGAAAATGCCCAAATATGGCTGAAACATCTCAAAAACAGCAAGCTACTTTGAAATAAAACTCTCATAGACTACCTGGCAATGAACTGAAAAAATCTAAAAGAAATCAAATTTAAAAAAAAAAAGCTCCGAGCACATATCTAGCAGCTGAGAGGTGGTATAATGAACTTAATATTTTCTAGTCCCATCTTCAAGTGTTCTGTACCAGTACAAAACGCCAAGCAGAGCACTCTTAGCATCACCTTCAGTTATCAGCAGCCTATACATAAGTGAATAGTAAGTGAACCGTAAAAAAGTGAATAAATAACACACGCGACTACTATGATTGTGACAAGCAAATATTACACAGGAACTCTGTAAATATGTTAACAGCACATATGATGTACACTACTGTGCAAAAAAAAAAAGGGGGGGGACTGATGTCTTCCATTCTACTGGACCAACTGACGAAATTCAAATTGCATTTTTCATGCCTCGAAAACGTGCCTTACACTATATGTGGCGTTCCGACAGATACTTCAACTTCTATTCATGAGATGGCGCCACGTGTAAAATCCAGTTCTTAATCGGAGCAGCAAAGCGACGTCATTACTCACTCAGACTTCTCGTGAGACAATGTATGCGATGGTAGCATGAACTGTGTTCGAGCTCTGCGTTGATCTCTGCAATGTAATTTTAATTGTAATTTAGTACTTAATATTCTTTGTTATGGAGATGTCTACTCTTATTTTCTTTAATTATCATGCTTAAGACCACACGACCACCAAAAGTGGTGATTTTTGACTGAGCACGCTATGAGAAGGATTTTCAACGACCCTAACCACGTGCATCCACGGCATTCTGAAAAACTGACTAAAAATAACAACGAATATGAACATTAACGTATGCTACACGCACCCTTCAATTATTCTAGAAGTATGATGTATATTGCTTATGTTTTTTTTTTTTTTTTTTCAAAGTCGTGCATATCATCGCAAGGAGCTTCAGCAAATTCATCAATGTGATCTGTTCCTTCCGCGACTTCGCCAGTCGTGCAATAATTCATCGATCATTCAACTTTTGTGACACAATGTGATACAATAGTGATTTTCGCTAAATGTGCTACATCAGTAATTTTTCTGCAAACGTGCTACGCAAAATTCTTCCCTCAGTGTCGAAAATAGTGAATTTTTTCCCATGTGACAGAGTGAGTTCTTTTCCTTAGAAAGTGCCTTAGCAGTGTAAAGTGGTGATTTTGTGTGTACCAATACAAAATGAACGCATCTTTTTTCTCAAATAGGGGTTCTTTTCAAAGATAAATATTACCCTGATTATTTGTGTGTGTATCGACATATATTTTTTCTGCATGGTTAAAATTTTATTGTTTCATGGCAAAAATTCAATAGTGTATCCTCTTGCTACAATATTTGTGCTGTTAAGGTTTATTAATTAAAGTGAAAATTATCTATCAGTATGCCGACGATATTCACCAGAGCCACAAATACACGTGTTGCGGTGAAGCCACGCCTTCTGGAAAAATAATCCTCATTGTGTTTGCTCAGATCGAAGCACAATTTTCTATCGCTCCATGAGTGAGGATTTACAGAATTCAACATGTAGTTGCAGCATTGAGTCTGTATTCTGAATTCAGTGCATGACTTAATACTCAAACCACCTGATGTGATAAATACTCCAAACTAAAACAGCGGCTATTGAATCTATTCAGAAAAGGAATCTTCAAAAATACGTACTTTACTACAAGGACTTGAACTTGGAGATCAGCGACCTTCATACTTGCTGTCACGAATGCGTGATCTGGCAGGAAGCCATTTTAGTGCGACTTGTTGAAGTCACTATGGCTTTGCGTCTCCCTAATAACATACAAATAATTCTTGCTGCTTCAATGAAGTCTAACCCGTTATCAGCAATGGCTGACAAAATTACTGAACTTGTTACTCCAGCTTTATCAGTGCTGCTAATGCTGCACCTTCAGTTCATCCCTCGAACAACAAGTGGCTGAATTGACCAAAAAAGTATCTGAACTCTCTACAAGTCTTCATGCTTCACGGAGTACAATCTCGATCAAATCAGGGCCCACGTAATAGATTTCGTGCCCGAAGAAGGAGTCAATCTCGTCACAATACTCGAACGCAGTACAAAGAACCAAAAAGTGGCATATGTTTTTATGATATGAATTTTGGCGCTCGAGCTCGCAAGTGTGCCCCTCCATGCACTTTTGAACAAGCGGGAAACTAAATGGGGGGTCTTCTGCTGGCCAACAGAATGTCCGCCACATCGACAGAATAGTACTGGCTGATCGTTCAACTCAGTTTTTTCTAGTAGATACTCAAGCTTACATATCAGTGCTCCCGATAACTAAAACAAATGCTCACCAACTTAATAAACTTGTACTGTATGCAGCCAATGGTACCCAAATTGCAACCTACGGCCCCAAACTATGACACTGATTTAAACTTGCGCTGGACTTTCAACTGGCTTTTATTATTGCGGATGTAACTCAAGCAATTATTGGTGTTGACTTCTTGACACATTTCCACTTCTAGTGGATGTCAAGAATAATTGCTTAATTGATGCTACAACTCAGCTGACATCACAGATCAGATCTGTGAGACAACTGTACGCGACAGTAGCATGAACTGTGTTCCGAGCTCTGCGTTGATTCTGCAATGTAATTAAATTGTAATTTAGTACTTAATATATTCTTTTTTGTTATAGGAGATTGTCTACTCTTATTTTCTTTAATATAAACATGCATAAGACCACACGACCATCAAATATATATTAGATTTATATATAAAATTGTTCTAATATAGGTATTTTGACACAAAAACGGACTCTTTCTGAAATGACATGCCAATTTTCTTCCATATTTCGATTCTATGACTCAAATTTTGCTTAAATATTAGATTTTGTAAAATTTGGTGCAAAATTTATGGATAAATTCAAAAATTTATCTTGCCTCATTTTTTCAGTTTATGCCAAGAATTTGCTGAACTTCTAATTATATGGCAACCTATTTTAATTTCCCTTTTTACATTGGCATGAGTGGAAAAAAGTCCCATTGTTCTTACTTTAAAATAATTTTAACAAAGTGCATACACCACATTTGATGTTATTATCACTTTCAACAAATATGACCAATTTCAAAATGCATCAATACATAAATTCACATATATCTTCAAAAATTTTGAATAAAAAACTCTTTTTTGCAGGTATGCTTAGAAATACATCTACTTTAAGATGATGTAAAATTTTATACATTATAATTCAAAATTTTTTAAAGAATTATTTAAAAATATTAATTTTAAAAATTAGCCATAAAAAATGGGCGAATTTTATTTGGAATGAACCTTAATTTCAAAATGTGAGAGGAAGAATCAAATAAGTTTAATAAAAAAGAGAGCTTAATAAATACATACCAAATTTAATTAACATTGAGGAGCTAAACCTTTGAGAGCTCATTTTTTCAAAACTACTCGTGTGATTTTTACAAAACTTGGCAGTTTGGCATAATCTGAGTTGTAGAATCGAAATATAGAAAAAAACTGGCATATCATTTCACGAAAAGTCCGATTTTGTGCACAAATACCTACATTAGAACAATGCTATACGTAAATCTAATACATATCCTAAGTCGCGCTTTTGAGACATGAAAAATGCAAGTTGAATTTCGTTAATCGGCAAGTAGAACAGGAGATATAGAACTGCCCCCTTTTCTGTGCAGTGTTAATATACCCAGTTGATATTGTTCAGTATAATGTACCAGAATAACTTCTCATATCCAAGTTACCACTGATTTTTAAAGTAAACATTCTCTGTAAACTCAGAATCCCAACGCCACAAGTACCTATCTTTCGAAGTAACTTTATAAATTCTGCTACAGATTTTAATATTCTATACAGACTTTTGGCTAGGTTTAGTGATAAAAGAATGCTCCACCAATTGAGTACAAATGCTGACAGTCACATAACAGGTGGTACAGCAACTCAGCTTGTGGTAAGTAAGTAAGGAATCTCATTCAAATTGAATATCAGATCTACTTCATAACTTGCAAACATTTTATGCAACATTTAACCTTCTGTTATAGTTGCACACTTCTTTCCTACATGGTTAGTTGCACTGCACCTATGAGATGTTTCTATTTTTTGAAAACCAAATGAAATTTATTCTAGTTAAAATAGCTCATTGTTACCAATTTAAGATTCTTTGAAGATGTATTAAACAACTTACTTAATTACTAAAACTTATTCAAAAATAGTAACACAAATAATTCAACAAAAATAAAGCAAATGAAATTACATTTGTAAAAAACTTGTCTTGTATAGGAACTACTCATTAAAGTATCACATATTCAAGAGAAAAATATTATTTCAGAGGCTGTCTGATTCAGCACAATCTTTCTCTGAAATGGAATTTTTACAGTCTTTACAAAATGTGGTAACATTGCTCAAACATAAATATTTTCTGCAAGTAGTAAACATATATTTTGTATTTTTCTGCTGTTTATTATTTTGACATGGATCTCACACAATTTTCGTTTCTTGGCTAGACTCCATAGGTCTATTTTCTTTGGCTCAAGAAGGTTAATTCATGATCTCGGTTAATCTAAGGCGAAATGATGAGGGTAAAATTTCCTCCTAACTGCTGCACTGGATCATTTCATCCATTACAAAATGTTCAGCCAATAGATGTGAGAAGCTGCCATGGGTTTTCACACTGTAACCATTTCATAAGTATATAATCTTAACATTCAGATCTCGCAAGATCAATGTACTGGTTAGTGTATTTTACTATAGTGTTGAGAGCCAATTCATCATGAAAAATAACCACATGTCTAAAATCGTCTCAGCTTTCCTTGCATCATGAACACCTGGTAAGTGTACCAATTCGCTAGTCTTCTTTCTGTTTGATGGTGGATATTTGTTCCTTTAGTATGAATCAACAGTCTTTCAATAGGCTATGTAGTATGTATCATTATCAGAATTTTCACCCACAGAATGATGGATCAATACTGCTTTGCTCTGTTTCCGAATCTTGGTCCCACACTTGAAGATCATCACCAATATCAGTATCAGATTGATCTCCAAAATCCTCCTCCTCCATTAAATCATCATCAAACAATATTCTATGAATTTCCTCCATGTCAGTAGGTTATTCAAATCAAAGGCTCTCTTTTTTTAATCCACTCTAGAGGAGGAAAAACAACCAGAGGGTAAACAAATTTAATCGGGTTGCACCTACTGAATGATCACAATATTTCCTACATTTACCGACTTACATTCTACCCAAAGTATCCCAATAATTGCAAAAAATAAGACAAAAAAAAAAAAAAAAGGGGGGGGGTGAGGAAATATAGATTTCATAGAAATATCACATCCATAATACTTACACCAGTGGTCGTGCTACACCTGTAGGGTGAACACTGCTGCCATAACTCTGTACCAACATATTTGAAGTTTGGTAGTACACTGATAACTCAGTAATCATAAATTAGTAAGATTTCCTCTAGAAGTGTCTATTGACACTTCTAAAGGAGGGGGAAACACAGTAGTGATGCACCTGTGTGCAACTAAAGAAGGTTAAAATGAACAACTGAAAAACATCTATAAGTATTCTTACCAGGTACTCCACAAACACAGCATATCAGCATGCCTTCATACCTTCCATTTTTTGTCATTGAACTTTCTTTGCAGTAAGTGCAACTCATAGACCCTTGATGAATTTTCTGAAAATAAAAGTTTCCAAATAAATATATTATTACTAATTAATAAAAGCAAGGGAAATATCTAATGTAAAGTGACTAGATTTCATTGAGACAAAGCAGGACAAATGGAATGAAATGAGAATTATAATTTAGTTATGAAAGCACACCAATAATTCAAAAAAATATATTTTTATTAATACATTCATATACTTGTCTATAAATATACAAAAATATATTTATTAACTATTGGTAACTATAAAAATATTTGTAAAAAAATATAATTTGAATATTATGTTTTTTAATTAATTTAACATTTTATTTTAAAAAATTATGATTTTCTTTCACGGTTATATTTTTTATCCGAGTGAATACTTTGCAATAGATTCGGATCATTTATTAAAATGTCGTGAAATTTCTCAGATGAATTGGTCAAGTTATATTTTAGGCTTAATACAGATTTTAGAGTTTTAATGTTCAACTGCATTTTTTTTCAATTGTCCGTGTTTTATTGATACTAGAAAAAACACTTTCTCTTCTAGGAATCCTCTCGTTTAAACCAATGCTACGAGAATCTCGTTTCTCAGAAAAGTCCCATCTAGCAGGGACTGTCGCTAGATATGATAACCTCTTTAGTTACAATAACAACAACAACAACAAAAAAAAAATTAAACGAAGAATTGTTTCTGATGTCATAAATTCAAACAGTTAAACAATGCTCAATGTCTGCCAATTTTATCAGTATAATAGCTAGTGATGTTGGTCGCTGTATCATTAGCGTCAATTTCAAACCCTGGAGAATGCACAGATGTTTGTAAATATATCTGTAAGACATGAAGGCACTTAAGACATCTTAAGTGGAAAACGACTACTCATTTTATGCATATTGTTATAAAAATGTGAATCTAAATTCATTTTCTATGAATTATTGGTGGAATATTGTTGTTGGTAGTTTTTTTTTTTTTTTTTTTACATGAAAAAGTGATTTTTTACAGTAAATCCCTAAAAATGAAAACTGACAGAATATAATCTGATGATGAAGAACTCTGGGCAGATAGTTTGTCAAATTATTCCTGCAAAAATGAGCTTAGCGATGATGATTCTAGAGACGAGAAAATTATACGACATCCCAGGACATTTTTCCGACCAAGAATTTGAAGCCATTTTGATTCAAGCCCAGATTAGGATGATTCTGATTCTGGAAAAGAATGGCCATTAGTAGACAATCCCCAGTCTTGGAAGAGTTTTTAAGCCAATCAGGAATAAATACAGAAAACTTTCCGGATAGTGTAAGAAACATAGTGTTACTCTACACTAAGCACCACAGAAAGGGTGAACATGAAGCGGTGAACTGCATGAATGTATTGTTGGATGGTCATAGACCCATTTGCAAGCACATACAGGGGCATATAGTCATTGATCATGATGCTGTCTGATAATACTGCATCTTAGATATTGGTCCCTTTCCAAGATATTGTCCAGATCAGTTGGTATCTGTATTCTGATAACAGAAAGAAACTACTCTTATCTAAGAATATTATGCAAGCCAAATTCTGTTCAGTGCAACTGCAATGCTCACAACACACTGTTCAGACAGTGCTGTCTGAACTATGGGCCATACATAAACGATCTACAGGCATATAGTCCTCCTTCTCCCAAACGTCTGGCTATAGTTTTTCAGGAGATCCATTGTCCTGTAATAGCAAGAAACTCATTCGTCACCAAGCTGGGCTGCGATGTGCAGTTTCTTTTTGTTGACAATGCAACTATCTCCTACAGGTATCCACCAATGCTATATAGCATTAACATCCAGCATTAGAAAAAAAGAAAAAGACAATTGTCCAGGGAGACTTTCCATGGACAAGAGGAAACATACACTAGAATCCATCGTGGGAGCTAGAAAAAAGAAAAATACTTTGCAAAAATGTCGTATGTATTCCATCAAGGAAACGCTCAGTGTAACGCAGTATATGCGTAAATTTTGCAAAGTACCTTGCAAAAAGGAAAGTAGTTTGAAAGCTATCACACATTTAATAATGTTTTTTTACAAAAAACATTATTAAATGATTATTTAACCCTTTAATGGACAATGGTTTAGAGAAGAAGCAGAAGTAATTTTGCATGTTAACTGCAAATCATCGCTCGCTATCTGGCAAGAGTTTAAGATGCGTATACTCGCATAAGATGTGTTAAAATACACCTTCTGAAACAGATTGATAATAAGGGAAGAGGAGCGAAAGACCTTCAAATCTGTCACCAGACGTGTTCTCCATTAAAATTGGGATGAACCGGTGTAGTTGGCGCAGTTGAACTATATCTGTACAACCAATAGTGAAATTCTGGCATCCTACCCCCCTTTACCAATACCTGTAACTGAAATATCTACCAACAACACTTGGTTTAAGTGCAAATCGAACTGTCTGGAGGGCGGAATCGCAATATTAGTAAAAATTGAGTTTTGCAAGTAAAACTGTTCACCTAGAATGCTTATATATATAAATGGCAGTAATAATATCATGCTATGAAATATTTCAGAAAAAAATTACTTTTAGAATAATCTCAGGATAAACCACACATGCTACATAAAATTATCTACTGAGCATGTTTTTTAAGTAAGGCTTGTTTTGTTGTACACAACAAATCTGCTCCAATATCAATGCAAGAACAAAATTCTGGACCTGATCGTCACCTGTGATGAACAGTGGATTTACTTCAACAACAAAGGCCGAAAAGGTGTTGGTCCATGCCCAGTTAGCCCATCAGCAGCATCACAAAGTGCAATTTGATTAACAAACGTCTTTAAAATGTTCAAGATTATCAAATCACCCGCTCCATTCGAGGTATGGTCAGTGATATGTTTTTGTCGGAAAGAAACCTGTCTGCTGCAGACATTCACTAGCAAATTTGTGAAGTTTACAGAGCTACTGCTGTGAGTGAAGACAAAGTGCGTAAGTGGGTCCAACTGCTGTTATGTAGACAGTATAGAGAGATTACTTAAATGCAAAATAAAAATTTACAATTCTTAAATACCTTTTTAATAATTGTTATTTAGGAAAAATTTTTGACAATAGCATAACAATTGTGAGGAAAGTTCACAATAGTACTATAATGTTTTGTGCTTTGTTCTGGAGATTGTGTTTAATTTGTTCTGTTTTACTTTGTATTAATTATGTTCTAGAGATTACAGATAAATGGCAAAAACTCAAAAGGACTGCATTTCTATCTTCCTAGCAATAACAAGAAAAAGTTCTGAAATACTTTTCTCTTAAGGAGAAATTCTTGCTTATTAATGTCTCCGTAATCACAATTTAGCTAATATTCGTCATTTTTATTAAAAAGTTTGGACTTATTAAAAAAGGCATTAACAAGAGTATATAGCTGAAGGAATGCTGTGATTTATTTGAATTTTTTATGTAGAGTAAAAGTTATTGCTCCTCTCAATTTAATTCCAAATGACAATTCAAATTCTCATTATTCTTTATCTGACTCCAACATTTCAGGCAAAAAATGGCAATACATGCCCTCCCTCTAGCAAAGCCTTGATGATACTGACAAAGTGAAACTGCATAGGCACATACATCATAAACAACTAAGAGCTTTTCATACTGACCTTACTACTGTTGGAGACTTGATTACCTCGGGACACATTTGAAGATGCTGCCGAATCAGTTGATGCCCTACGAAAAGGCATTCGTCTTAATTTATAATTTCGTCCATCTTGAATTATCAGGCCATTAGAGGCAGCTCGCTTGGCAGATTGCAGAAGCTGCTGTGCTAAATCTGTACCAGGATCTACACTTATTGTGAATGTTTGCCGTACATATTTTTCAATAGAACGCAGTGTTGATCCACCATTTTCCGCCAATTCCTTGATAGCCTTCACAATTACTTTAGTCATATCCGTCCCACAGTGAATCCGCAATGTGCGACTTTTTAGATTGCACATCGTCCTTGGATCTTTGTACGAATACAAGCCTTTAGTATAAACCTGAAATTAAACATCAGTAAGAGATATATCTTAACAAAATTAATTTCTTTTTTTTTCAATAGCAATTTTACTGCAAAATAAAAAGAGGCAGAAATCTTAATAAGAAATCTACTGCTAAAATTAAAGAGGTTAAATTTAAAAAAAATAACTGAATTTTAAAAACTTACCTTTCGGTATTTTTAACATCTGCTCAAAAACATTCTAAAAGTCATAATTTACACATAAATATAGGAAAATTCAGCATTCTGATTGCTTAATTTTTTGTCACTTCTTTTATTTTGAGCAATGGAGTTCTGCAATAATGTCATTTTGTTTCTTTCATTATGCATGCTACTGTCCAAAACTGGATTGTGAAAGACAAAAATCAATACTCTTGCAAACAATACAAAACTGAAACTAAATATATTTCTAGAAAAACTGTAGGTGTCATTTTTAAATATTGAATCACTTCTGTGCCTTCCTAAGAATTTCTCCTTAAGAGTATTTTAGTCATGATATTATGTTGGCAAGCAGAATTGATAATAGAAGCCCATGCCTTTTAGAAGGTTTTTTTAACTCCTAAAATTTTAGAAAATTTAGAAATTATTTAATTATAAAAGCACAAGAGGGCTAACTGCCTGCAGGAAAGAATGCTAAATGGAAGACTTTCTAAAGAAAACTCATGTATAACTGAGGGTGGGGAAAAAATAGAAAACCTTCATGCACGGCCATTTAAGCTTTCAATCACTCTAGTGGGTTTCTCAATACAAGGATGAAATCTAGAAGATGTATGTAGATCTCTCCAGTACAGCTTTTGGTTTCATTATTTTAAATGATAATACTTAACTGCATACATGCATTTGTAAATGAAATACCTTGAAAATAAGTCATTAAGTTACAGTGAATGGATAACTAGAAGCCCTCTCCCTCCCAAGAATCTTCTCAAAACAAAATCTTTACAGGAAAATATATATGGGAAAGAAACAGAAAGTCACAATTAGGTACACTGCATACTTCTCTCAAGCTATATATACTACATCACAAATCTACCAGCAATTTAGGTTTTATTCCTTTTAAACAAGATGCTTTCTATTTTTAAAACATGCTTGGAAATTCTACCTTTCTTTCTAGAACTATATGAAATTAAATAGATTCAACAAACTGCAAGAAATAACAGAAGAAATAGGATTTTGCAGAAAAACTCAATAGAAAATCATTAGTTTAATAAAGATAAATTTATTAAAATACTACCTATTACGCTAAAATTCTTTACATCGCTTCAATGTAAAAAAAAAAAAAAAAAAAACACAGACACAAATTCACAATAATTCCATCCACATACATTTGAAAATTAATCAGAAAAGCGAGAGGTACACACCCATATTTATATAATGGGTCATCTGGAGAGTTTCGTTTTTGAAATCAAAGTATATTTTCTTCTATTTATTTTGTTACTGCTGGTAAGGAGTCTCAAACTCAAAAGTTCATTTTTATCATATTATGCTCTTTTATTTTAAAAAAGGGGAATAAAATTTCATACAGACTGCTCATAAAATGTGTGCTGTGTATGAATAAGGGATTGTTTTTTGATGATACAGTTCGAAGGTGGTTTGAGAAGACTAGACATTTTAGGCTCGAAGATGAAAACGTAGAACTATTAAAAGAAGCAGTACTATCACATTATCCACCCAACTGTTCCAGGAAGTCGGCATTCATTGGTGAGGAATTTTTTGGTAATTTAACACACGAGAAACAGTAGTCATTTTTAAATATGGCACCATGCTGAAAATTATGTGAAACAACAATGAATTAAGAAAACTAAAAACGCAAGAAATATTTATAATACTTACTGAAATGCTACAAAACACTTGTCATGAAACTAAATATTGATTGTATATTTTGTGTGCCATAAATGAGCTCCTGTAGATGTTATTTAATGTTTAAAATTTTGTTGCTTTAAACTGTTTTCCCAAGAACACAATAAACATGTAGGTATCTCATTTTGTTCTGTTTATTTTTTTAAAACATGAAATGCACTCGATAATTTTGGACCATCCTGTAGTTTATATATATCTGAAACCTGTGTTTCCAGACGATAAGATTAGCTATTTTGATAACGTAATGCAGATGTAAACCTTTACGAAAAATGTAAGATTGGCATAAGGATATCGATGATCAGTTTAAAGCAAGAAACTGACCTTCGTATTCAGTTTCTACTCACTTCCTTATGCCATGGCACAGTTACTAGACCGACTTTTCTGTCTTTTCAAACAGTGGACTGAAAGTAGCAGCAAATGTTTTTGATTCAGCTCCTGCTCTCCAACATTATGTTAAAACCAAGATTATGCAGACATATGAATAAAGCAGTGAAGAGAAATTTTTAAGTACAGGGTGGGCCAAATAAGACCTACTAATGTTAAACACAAATAACTCTTGTAATAATAATTTCATTTGATTAATTTTTTATACATTAAATATATTTTATGAAAAATGACATTAGACAAATGTTCACCATTTTTCTCGATACAGAGATTGGCTCTTTTTAAAGCGTTTTCCATTACACCACATAATGTTTCTCATTGAAGGCTCAGCATTTCGTCTTGAATATTCTGCTTCAGCTGTCTAATAGTCGCTGGTTTATTAGCATACACATTGTCTTTTAAATATCCCCATAAAAAAAGGGTTCTGCTCCGCCATTGGCCACAAAAAGTTTTCAATTATTGATCTATAAGAATCTCCGGAAATAATTTCCGGCATTCCATTCTCATTCTTGAAGAAATATGGGCCAATAACACTATTGTCCATAACACCGCAGCAAACAGTACACTTGAATTAAAATACTGCCGATATTTACGCTGCATCATAACAATTGATCATTGATAAGAATAGAAAAACTCGATAATTTTCACTCATTGTTTTGTACTGTATGGTTCCTTAACATTGGTAGGTCTTATATAGACCCATCCTGTACTACCAGCATGGAATAGCTTTCTGGTGCTTTCCTCCCATTATAAAATGGATGGTTATGAAAAAGCCGATTTCCTTGTCAAAATGAACCATGTTTATGCAGAAACCTAATAAGCTTTCTAATCTTTTAAAGCACTTGCCAAATTTAACTTACGAAACAAATTTTTCCTGCAGAATCATTCACAATACGTAGTGGAAAGATTCTGGGCTTTCTTTGCACAAATTTATCTGATCCCAAATCACGAAGAAATGCTCCTGTTGCAAAATTCATATTTTTGATTACGATTACCTACAGGCTGGCTACTTTTATTCATTTTGAGTGATTAACTTGCCTACTGCCATTTCGGGATCTTCTAGACAACCAATGACAGTTGATGATTTGGATTCATATATATACATATTGTGATTTGGATAAATGCTAATTTATTTCAGATGCATAATCCGTAAATATTACACAACCAAAAGTCCAATGACTTCGTGGTCAACTGATTGACATTTTCAAAATAAACATAAGGCTCTTGTAAGTTACGTAGCTTCTACGATCTACAATCTCAAAAGATTAGATTTTTACTACAGTTCCGTCACAGTGATTTTTATTTATTTATTTTATCAGCAACTCTATGGAACTAGCACAGCCAACAATAAATTTTCTGACATTATTATGTAAAGAATAAAAATGAAGGTAATTTTTATTCAAGAGCATAAATTTAGGTTGATAATAAAAACATCAGATACATTACAGATATTTTTGTTTTAATATGTCGCAACAAAACATTTGAAAAAAGGAGTTTTGAGAAGATTCTTTTCTAAGAAGACCTAATAAAACAAAGATGTTACAGTCTTATTCTTTGAAATTACACTCTTTGTTTGAATTATCATTTCTTAGTATAAAATTTCATTTACAGATTCCAACACTCAGTATACATTACTTTACGTATTTTAAACACAAAACATTATTACAGCTGGCAAATTTGAAGTATGAAAAATGACATAAAGCTCTCGGAAATGTCAGGTTTATGTTGCAGCTTTATGTTATAGCTCTCGAAAATGTTGCAAACTGACTTAAGTTCACTTTATAATGCATGATTTGGCTAACTGAACTACTTATAACTTGATCCAAAATATATTAATATTTAATTAGATATTCTAAATTCCATATTCTTTGGTTAATTTTATTTTGTAATTTTTTGACATTTTTAATACTGAGAATACCTTGGGTAGCTTTTATGGTACTTATAGTTTATGGTAAACTACCGACTTTGAAACTGCTGCCAAACAACATGATTCCACACCAATTATGGATAAGCACAACATCATTCCATACTCATAACATCTGTGGGTTCGCCTGATGTAACCTGATTTGGTGCCTCGAGGGCTATCGCTCTAAAGAGGAGGGATGCGTTTTTGGAGGACTCTCTAAGGGAAACTGGCTCGTATACACACTACACACGGGAAAACCCCGAAAACACCCATGCATATAACTCGGATTGATTATCAATAAGCCACCTTTTGTTTTTTTATGAACAAAGATATAATTTATCTGTTATTGCTGCAATTTTTCTGGCATTCTGAAGAAAAATTATTACAATCTAGAACCTGCCTTTGATAGAATAGTGAAGGAAGGACTATTTTCAAAGTTATAAGATCCTAACCCTCCCCCCCCAAAAAAAAAACTCTATTAATGAACACAAGACTAGAACAAATACCTGCAGTAAGTCTATACTGAAAGCATTCTAAACACAGCTTTCAGTAAATTCGGAGAACCTAATAAAATAGTAGAAATCAATGAAAGCTTTTTTACAAAGCACAAAAATGAAACAGGTTAAATACTGATAGTTTATTGCATAAAAACACATAGGTTTCTTCAGAATTCTGCAGGTTCAATTAGTGCAACTTTTGTGGATTTTCACCAGCTTTCATTATCAACGAGATAATACATAAGTACCACTTTTATTTATCAAAATACTTTTAAATACTATGAAAATAAAATTATCAATTAATGTATATATTATCTTGATAAACTGAATAACATTGTGATACGAATGAAATTAAAT